TGTCTTCATTTTGTCTACCACGCCAGCAACTATTCCAGTAGCAATAAAACACTGGGATTTCAGACATCATCAGACAGATAACTATACTATTTGTATAATGCTGCTTGCTTTCTGTATAGGAAATAGTGAATTTCACGTGTTGACTCCAACACTTAATTAAATGGTGCCAACAAACTAGACCACCTCTATAGTAAACCAAGGAACACCGCTTGTGTACATTGGGATATTGTGACTCTCTCTGCAACATACATTGATGCAGTACATTGCTCCTGAGCCTGTTCTGACACAGGCAAACTTAGCTAATACTTTCTGCAGTAAGTCCATCTCTAAGATACTAATGCCAGAACCAAGATTGGAGATGACTACCTTCATCCCGTAGCTGACTTTACCTAGATGTAGTTTGAAATGTACATCTATGGTCACATTTAGTTTATCATCATTTGCCAGAACAAAGTCAATGTTAACTGGCCAAAATGGTGACTATACTCAGAATGCGTGATATATATATATAACTAGATCAACCAACTTCCTGGCATTTCCTATATCAACCAGAGTTTCCATCTCTTGCCCATATGTCTTTGCTGGCATATATAAAGTACCACTTTTTGGTATGAGCTGTCTGCTGCACTCTCTTAATTCAGTGGCCATATCCAACTTGGACTCTTTTATTTTTCTAGAGATAAAATACCAACAGCAACAGCTTGATGCTGGCCCTCCTGCATCTGCTGAGCAACCAGTCAAAACTGGTAGCCTTGTCTACTTTGCTGTATGAGAAGGTCTGGACAGTTCACTTTAAAGTAACGCAGCCTTACTATTTCCTTCAACAGCAACATCTAGGCAGAGGCATGACTGGCATAAGCTTTGGCACAAAAATCATGGAACACCCGTGGAAGCCCTGCCCCTTCTACAGGAAGTCAGTGGAATTGTGTCACAGTAATAAGATGTGTTGATGCTAGTTTGCTCTCCGCAAACCTCGAGCTTGGCGTGATGCAGTCACTTGTGGAGGGCAATCTGAGACACAACCACTGAAGTTGCCATTTTGAGCTTCTTCTTCGCTTGCAACCTTTTTGGTTCATTATGTTGAACCTCGGTGCAGCCAAAACTGCCTCCATTATGGTGAAGATGTTTCTCACATTGAAGTGGAGCCTCAATGTCTCACCTTGTAGCCCTTCGATTAATTTTGAGCTGTCCACCAGGAAAAATTAAAGGCTCAAAACAGGTGATTATGCTGAAAACTTGGTCACTTATGCATATGATCTGCACAACTTGAATAGGAAAGCACACCTTCAATGACATCAGCAGATTGTAAGGATATCCTTGCAGAGTTGAAATATTGGCACAACTCAACTACAACCATATTCCCATCATATAGTTGCACCTTGCTTGAATGTTTGATAGAATAAAGGGCTGGCCCATCCAGATGCAGGTTCATCTATTCCAGGCAGCGAACAGCCTGAAACACACTAGTAAATAGTCCAGATCATCTTTTGCTACACTCTTAAATGTCAGAGTGTGATTTGTTAGCTTCTACCACTGTCACAATGATCTGGAATTTCAGCATAAACCTCTCACCCACGAACTCTTACCAAAACCAGGCTGAGATGCCAAGAGTGCAGTGGAATTAGCGTGTTTAAAGATATCTGCTCAAGAATTAGCCTCAGGTCTCTTCCCTTAGGGGCAGAATTGGAAGTTACAATAAGTAGTCTGTCTATCAACTCTACTTGACCCTAGGCTTTTCCATAACCCATGGCAGTATATTTCCCATCACAGATAAGCTCATGACTGCCATATATATCATGAATGCTACCAGTATGACAGGTGAAACAGCTAAGATTGATAGCCATTGTTCAATAGTGGCATTTCCAGTCTCTATTATCTGATCTCGGTTGGCATCAAAAAAAGGCTGGGCTAGCCTGGTCAGGAAATGTCTGGAAGTCCTTTAAAAACTGCCGTAGTCAATCTTGGAGTTGCCAAACGGCATGCCACTGTGACAATTCTCAGTCATCCATGCTTCCTTTGCACTGAGGTTAAACTTTAGGGAAACACCTATTAAGCCATTCTGAGTGCAACAGACTCTGATAGTTCTCCTTCCCAAGGCTGCAGCCTCAGCAAGAAAAATGTCACCGTCCTTTACAGTATTGGTTAGTTTCCAAATTTCAGAAGAGCACTTCTCTAGAGACTCAACAACTCGTTCATAAGTATTCCAACTTGTGGAAAATTCCATTTACTTAAATGTGAAGTTTCAACTCAATAATACAACAGTTCAGAAGAGCATAGGCAAATACATTTGTCTGAAGAAAAATAGAAAACTCCACAAAACAAATTCTATGGTCATGATACCAAATTTTCTCCTTCCTACCAACTGTTACATTGAAATCAAAGAAAGAGATTGGGCACAACGTAAAACACGATGAAATGATTTTTATTTAACAATGAAAAACAATAAAAGGTAAATAAGTAAATTAGTGGTATCCAAGGTATCTCAAACTTTTTAATCTAAGCCTTAAATCTGTAATTTTCTATTTCAGGCTGAGAAAACATGGCATTATATATCTGAAACAATAATGCTATCCTTCTCAAGACGAAGGCGATACCCATGTAATTGTTGGTTATTCCCATCATAAAATAAGGGAAGTTGTATCTTTGAGGTTACATCTGAATTGCCTACAGAAAATATCACTGTCTGTTTGATATAATATACTCCTTTTTACAGGGATATTTTCCATGAGAAAATGAATGTGACACTCTAGTTGTTTATTTATATTATTTTTATAAATATATTTTATTGAAATCCTAATGCTTATATTGACAGTAGTTTTATAACTTGTACATAGCAAGGTGAAGTATTAATATATTATACCTTGGACTTCTCTGAATATTCTAAAAACGTGAAAGGCCTAGCAGAATTTAAAGACAACTTGTACAATTCAAATCAAATGTCTGCATTTATGATAATGCAACAAACTTAAGTGACCCATTGCAATATACTAAATTATGTAGAAAACATGAACACCACTACAATATAAGCGTTACACCTTCATGTTTTCATGCAATAAGATATATTTGATCAGGATTTTACAAACTGGATTGTGGTTATCTTTCAGAATTTTTCATCTTTATCAAAAGAAAAATACTAATAAATATAAGTTCGAATATCGACTTAACATTATAAATATGATTACTGATCATAGGATACACAGAGAAATAGTTCCCAATTGTTTTGAAGTATTTTGAACATTGAAGATTAAAAAATATCCATTACTAATATAAAATGAAAGGGTATATTATATAATAAGTGTTAGGTAATATCTATTTAACTTAAATGAATTCAATAAAAAACATTGTATGTCATTTGCATTGCTTAGGTAAAATTCAACACGGAAAACCTTTGTCTTAATATTTTTTTATTATTAATTGATTATCCCGTACTTACCCACTGATGAAGAAATTTTAATCAATAAAAACGCTCTCTCGCTCTTTTTTTATTAGCTTTATGAATACTTGGTTACTTCTTGTAAATGTGAATAAACATCTGTTTTGGTTTCTGGTCACAAATCCTATTAGATGCAGCTTTATCTTATTACGTAACTGGCTAGCGTACCCGTCCCCTGGACGGAAGTTATGTAAATTCATGATTAATTAAAGGTTATCTTAGGACATGAAAAGTTGCTTCCCTTAAATGTAATTGTAAAACAAATGCAAAAACGCTCATAAGAACTGCAAAACACATAATGTGAATACGGAAATTTGCCTGTATCTACTAACGTTGGCTGACTAACTGTGACAATTGAGAAGCTATCATCCAATATTCCAGAGGTATTTTCAACAGTGAAACTCTGCTCGATATCTCAGAAAGTAATGGTTGTTAAGATAAGATAAAACAAAATATGTGCGAAGTCTTTATTGCTTTGCAATTAGCATGAAACATTTTGCTGATATATGCTATAACATAAAACAAATAGTGTTAAAATCTCATCAATATTATTTTAAACTTAAAAACGGTCTGCGAACAAAACCTCAACTTTTAAATGGGTCGCTGATACTGTTGCATACCCAAATGTAAAAATAGGCGTACCAAAAGCAAAATAGCTAGTGAAAACATAAGGTGACACAAGTTTTCGAGGAACAAACGTAGTTTATGTATGCATAAAAGTCGAAGAGAACCAGAAAGAAATTTTCAAACTACAGACAACAAAAATATATGCTGAGCACATTTCAAATATAATGATTTTATAGCATCAATACACGATTTTTGACTGGTCAAAATGTACAAACATGAGGACTCCGGTCTCCACGGAAAATCGAACCTCGGATTTTAGCATTGCAAGTCCATAAACTTGCCGCTTACCTACCCACTAGGCAACAAACACGAGGAAGGAAATTTATAACCTCGGTTTCAAATATTTGAAAATTTTCTTATCATATCAAAGTGTGGCAAACTATGAAATATTTAATTGTACTTGTCATAAGACATTAGTATTATGCGTATTATACTACTAATTATTATTATATATATATCATTACTTATGCTTTACGACAAGAATAATTAATTATAATCATACTTCGCCAGATTAGAAAAGGCGTTCACACCATAACAGTAGTGAAACATATATATATATATTGATTTTTAGTGTACAGTTTTCATTTACTCTATATTCAGTAGTCTCTCTTTTCATTTTTAAACAATGACTTTGATATGGATTCAGTTATTCATTTGACGCATTTTCATTGAGAATTTGTCATATGAAAGTATGATAATTTGACACAATTATTTTTTTCATGTATCCTTTTACAAATACTTGTAACCTTTACATTTATCTTTTTTTTTCAAATAACGCTTTAGATTTTGTAAATAAAGTCAAGTCACGAGACCACATTATTTTATCAGTACTTTTAAAATGTGTGTCAACATCTCTTACCATTTCTCACCGTACAGAAGCATGCGACAAAGGACTCTCTGTGCTCTGCCCACCACGGGTATCGAAACCCAGTTTCCAGCGGTATAAGTTCGCAGACATATCACTGTGCCACTGTGGAGCTGCATGCGAAGGACCAGACATCACATCTATTAGGTGATTAAAAAATCACCCGCGTCATGGCGCTACTAGGTAACAGTGAACTGGCTAGTTGTCGCCTACAGTTATTATTATTTTGATATAGATCTAAGGACCGTATTCTTGCATTAAAGTTATCAAATTTAGTTTATGCTGTTATCAAAGCTATATTGGATTCACTAAAACAAAATTGTTAACGCGTGTGAAATTTGAGAACCAGAATAACTCAGAGTGTACTTAAAGTCCAACATAATTTAGAAGAAAGTGACGTAGTCGTAGATTCAAATTATTTTAAGGCCTTAGTTAAGTTTCGGTTTTATTGGGAAAGGCAGGTGATAAACGGAACCTTTACGTGATCATTTACAGACTGTGGCCTCTAATAAACGAAGTAAACTGAGCTTATAAATTATTTTAATGCTATGAAAAAAGGTTTTCTTCAGTTTCTGTTCAAAAGCATACCATATACAGAATATTGCAAAAGATCTTTCCAAGCTTTAGTTTTATTTAAAGCAAAAACAAAAAACACCAGCTTTTTTGTGTTTATCTCTGTGAATACTGACTGTATATTTCAAAGGTTAAAGTATTACGTATACAATGATTAAATAGTACTCGTTGTAGCTCATAAGAGAACAATAGTCTGTAATTCGGTCTTTGACCTATCTATTTTAAATTATCACCAATCAGCTAAATGTCATTTCCATTTTTATCATTCTCCTAAATATTTTTATAGCTGCTAGGTTGACTGTACACTCATCAGGTATAAGCTTGTCTGACAACACGCCCAGTTACGTTTCGTATTAATACGCAGCTACTAAAAAAGAAGTGGGATTTGTTACGTTCTATTATGTTTACAAGTGTGGAAATTGGTAGCGGCATCTTAATAAACTGTTGACTGTTTCTAAAAAGAATGTTGGTTATGTTTGTGAAAACGGATCGCCGTGATTTACCGTAAGTTTTATATATTTGCTGATTACGCATTTTATATTCAAATATTCAATTTTTAGATGATATCAGATTCTTACCTTTCCAATTCTCCACAATTGTTTCTATCGGAATGTATGTGCTAAGTTTCGGTATTGTTACAATATTTCTTTCTTGTTTTTATTTTTGTTTAAGCACAAAGTTGCATAGCTTAAAAATATTTCGCTTTTTCTGAACAATTTTGTTTTTGTTTGTTTCTTGTTATGTACAAAGCTACACAATGAACTATCTGTACTGTGCCCATCACGGGTATCGAAACTCGATTTTTAGTATTATAAATTTTCAGACTAGACTTTTCGCTAAGCCACTGGGGAGGAGGTTTCTTAACAAATATTGTTATATATGTGCTATTGAATACTGGGGCATGTCTGGATATTCTTTGCAGTTACAATATAATATATTTCGCGCAATTTCGTGTTGAACAACCAAATATAATTATAGTTGTAGTAGTAGTAATAGTAAGAGCGAAGCTGATAACGTTTCACCAAAAGAAACCATAAACAAAATGATTTAGGAAACTCGGCATGGGTTGAATCAATGTAGTACCATCTAATAATAAGAATTATTCATAACATTAGTCTATTAGGTCGTCAAGAAATTAATGTCGCGTTTTGGAACACTTTCATTAACCACCCT